AGCAGGAGATCCCCAAAGGGACTGGAGACACTGCACAGACAGCAATTTAGCATTTATATGAGGTTCTTGCCATTTCCAAATGTTCCTCACGCTGCCCAGATGACGGCTTTGACAGACTGGAATTCAAAATCTGAATAAGTCTGCAACAATGCTTAGTGCTAACACTAGGCTAGAATAACCTATTATTTACTAGCTTACTTCACAGTGTATAGCAAAAAACGTTACACCTAAGACTGCAGCTACCTGTGTACAATTAATTTTAATGCATGGACTACATTTTGAGACATGCTGTAGTATTACATTGATTTGAATGTGGTTACACTAGTGCATAAGAAAAAATTGCCCAACTCTACACAGTAAATACTATATTTTATAGATGTAAAAGTCTATTACACTATTCATTTAAAAATATCCAGCATACAGGAATATAATGATTAAGTGTAGCAGCCAACCAGCATTTTATTAAAGCATAAAGCATGGGCAAGCATAGACTCCTATAATGCTAAGGTGACTAAATTGCCTGTTAAGAGGATTTTTTTGTTAAACAATAGACTACATTCTGTAAAAACAACCCCTCTGCATAATACAACATCTAATTTCTTATCAGGGCACTTATTTCAATTCATCAGTAAGGAGTAGACATAATGTTTCAACTATATTTTTCTTAGTTTATGTTTGGTATTCTTTTTCTTCTTTCCTCTTGGGTTATATCAATTTTCATTGTTACAGTACTTGAAAGTAAAACTGAGCTACATTTTGCTGAGATTTACAGTTCCTCAGACTGTAAGTCAGGCCATGTAAGACCATTTCTAAACATGAATTTTAGGAATAAACCAGGATTTTTTTAATTGCCTCATCTTCTGTTCAATATAACAACAATACAAAAAATTACTATATACTTCTATTCCAATTCAGAGGAAGACCATCCCTCCATCCCCAAAGAACAATGAGAAATAAGCACACACTTGTGCATCCTATGAGATTAGAGCTGCTTTCTTGCTTTGCCATCTGCATGTACAATGATCCCATTCTAGATGCCCACAGTGAGGTTTATATCAACTAACTTTAGCCTTCTGGAAGCAGTACCTATTCCAAGGTGCCTTACACAATCCTTAGAGAAAAACTGGCATTTGAGCAGGAGCAATTAATCTATTTTAAACACCTACATTCTGGATAGGTAACAAGCAGGTGGTATGAATCTCACCAATGTACCAAGTGCATCACATAAATTGATTGCATTAGTGATTAAATCTTTCTGGAAAACTAGCCCTGTTATGTAAACATGTTAAAGCTGTTAGGTCTTTACATCCCTATTTTTTTTTAACTTAATATTTTACTTCCTGTAGTAATGGTACAACTCCAAAATCTTTCAACTCAGGAAACCCAACTGGCATCAAGTATTTCCTTCTGCCTTTCTCCTTAACACTCTGCTGAAGTGAAAACAGACAAGGCCATTCTGCCATACCGCTGTTCCTACAAAGGAGCAACAAAGTGGCAGGAACAGACAATGCACTGCAGTCTCTACTAGAGAAGGAGAAGCAGAGAAATTTGGTTTCACGACACAACTTACAGTGATCAGGAGAAAAACAAAGACATGAGCAACAACTTCTCAGCAGTATTCTCATAAAAGTCAAGCCTACCTTAGAGACTACTCTATTTATCAGATGTAACATTCAGTATTTTGTGGGCACATAATACCTTTTCGAATGCTTCTCTTCAGCTTGTTACAGAGGTCAACGCGAGGGTTCTCCAAGCTGTCCTCTATGGAGCCAGGGCTTTGCTCAGGAGAGGAGAGCCCTTTGCTAAGGTCCAGCGGTACTTTGCTACCCGTTGGTGGTGGGGAGGTGGCCGGGCTGTAGGTCGAGGTAGGACTGCTTGCCACAGACGAAGAAGAGAGGTCAAGGGCACCGATCCTTGAATTCAGTGGTGAGGTCAATGACAGTTTTCGGGTTCTGACAGGTGAGGAAGTTCTGGAGAGTGACAATGGAGGAGGAGAAGAAAACTTGCGAGACAGATTTGGTGACTTCCCATCAGTCTGGTACTCTCCTTTGTTGTTTTGACCGGTAGAAAAGAATAACTCCAGAGACCTGAGAGTAAGAAACAAAAAAACCAAAAGATGACAACAAACACCAAAGAGATCTAAGTGAAAACACTTACATACCAGTTTTGTGCAAATCTGCACAGCACTGCAAAATCTGTATGACACTGAGTCCTCAAAGCCTGGGCAGAAAGTTGAGACAGACTTACCTAAAAACTTACATCCTACTTACAAAGGAAGAAATTTCTTCTTAGATTATTCATATAACAGAAAATCATGGTAAAAAACCCCCTAAGAACAAAAGACACCATAAGAATTCCGTAAGAAACCTGTGATTGGAGGGAAAAATCCTAGAGCTCACCTGACAGGAATGGAAGTGAAGGGCCGTCTGTATATGTCTGAAAGTTTTTCCAGTACAACAGCTGCAGTAGTAAATATGCGGTAAGTATGCAGGAAAGTATTCAGGAAATCAATACTTAGAAATCGCAAGTCTGTTAGCCGCTCTAAAAGGCGCTCGACGCTTGCATAACGGATTTGGGGTACTTTGCAGGAATTCAGTGTTTTGCTGAAGCAGATATCAATGTCATCTCTATGAAGACGAGCATCAGATCTACACAAAAATTAAATTTAGAACATTTTACCAAAGAGGAAAAGTGATTATGGTACAGTAGCGGTATCACTTTGACTGCTCCTGTCAACATAGAAGCAGCAAATATATATATGCATTCTTGTATTTCATCAACACAAGAAAACTCTTCATCTGTGGTGATACCTGCTTTCATTCATATTTTATGGCATAACTAAAGGAATGTATGTATATTTTGGCAAATAATTAATTTACATTTAAAAGTGTAAGAAACCATTAATGATGCTTAAATTTCTAAAATGGAACAGGAGGCAGAATTGTCCCCTCTTGCCTCTTTCAGGCTGTTGTGGCCTGTAGTCCAGTATTATTAGAAGCTCACCATAGAATAATAGTGGACTGATAACAGTTTTTTTCTGCTGGGATCTAGCTTTATCTAAAATAAACTAATGGGCCCTAGCAAAAGACAGCCAAATTAACCCCTTAGCTAAGCTTAAGGCTCATCAGCAAGGTAACATCTGCCCTCAGGCTCCAATAGATACTGGTTTTTTAAAAGAAGAAAAAGAGAACAGCATGAAACATCTTAAATTTCAAAGCAGAAAGCATGGAGAGGCTTTGTTTCAGTGAAAAAAAAATTGGACTAATTTTTGTTTGGGCATTAAAACAAAAATCAATCATTTACATAACCCTGCTCATGACGGTTTTTTTTCCAAATTCAGTTTTATCTAGTTGAAGGCATAGTTTGTGAAAAAACTGGAATGGATACTAAGTGAAACATCTTTCAATACTGCCTGATCTTGCAGTTAGAAATGATTGGATTTTCTTAGAATACAGCATCAAGATATTCCACACGCTTCTACACTGCATTACATAAAAGAAACAACAACAAAACATCTTTCTTAAGTTGGGTTCTCAGAAAAGTGGCAATTTTTTTTTATTTCATTCAAAGACGTCTGACTCTAAAAGTCAATGTGTGCTAAAAATCAGATGAGTAAAACCTCAGAAAGAGAACACCAAATTTGTGTCTGTTGTTAAGATCCTGTATGTTTTTTAGAATAAAGATTTCCTTCTCTTGACATTGGGATTAAGACCTTGCTTTAATCTACAATTTGAAAGCAGATGAATGTATTTTTAACATTCAGTGGGTAAAACAGAAGTGTTTACACACTGGAGAGTTCCTGGAATAAAACTGAAGACAATAAAATGCCTTTTTTTCCAGGGATCAAAGGTATATGCCCTAACAGTGTATTCACAGATGTTATCTTTTTTTAATTTCTAAACATATACAAAGAGAGGAGAGGCAACAAATACAAATGAGGCATTTGAGAAACCTTCATGTACGGAGTACATCCAAGAAAGAGAAATGGCCTAATGATAGATAACAGCAAGAAAGGAATCTAGCAGATGAAGCTGCTAAGCCACTATTCATCTTATTTGATGTTGTGGCAGTCTGGTGAAGTTCCCACTGACTAGAAAAGGGGAAATAATACCCCCATTTTTACAAAGGGAAAAAAGGAACACCCAGGGAACTACAGGCTGGTCAGTCTCATCTCTGAGCCCAGCAAGAGCATGGAGCAGATCCTCCTGGAAACGAAACCAAGGCACATGAAAAATAAGGAGGTGATTGGTGACAGCCAACATGGCTTCACTAAGGGCAATTCATGCCTGACAAATCTGGTGGCCTTCTACAACCAGGTTACAGCATTGGTGGATGAGGGAAGAGCGACTTGTGCAAAGCATTTGACACTGTCCCACACGACATTCTTGCATCTAAATTGGAGAGACGTGGATTAGATAGATGGACCACTCGGTGGACAAGGAATTGGCTAGATGGTCACACTTAAAGAGTTGTGGTCAATGGCTCGATGTCCAAGTGGAGTTCAGTGATGAGTGGTGTTCCTCCAGGGCTGGTATTGGGATTGTTGCTGTATGTTGGCGACATGGACAGTGGGATCGAGTGCACACTCAGTAAGTTTGCCGATGACACCAAGCTGTGTGGTGTGGTTGACATGTTGGAGGGAAGGGATGCCATCCAGAGGGACCTTGACAGGCTGGAGAGGTCGGCCCGTGTGAACTGCATGAAGTTCAACAAGGTCAAGTGCAAGGTCCTGCACATGGGTTGGCACAATCCCAAGCATAAATACAGGCTGGGCAGAGAATGGATTGAGAACAGCCCTGAGGAGAAGGACTTGGGGGTGTTGGTGGATGACAAGCTCAACATGAGCCGGCAGTGTGCGCTTGCAGCCCAAAAAGCCAACCACATCCTGGGCTGCATCAAACCAGTGTGGCCAGCAGGTTGAGGGAGGTGATCCTGCCCCTCTACTCCGCTCCTGTGAGACCCTACCTGGAGTACTACATCCAGCTCTGTGGTCCCCAGTACAGGAAAGACATGGACCTGACGGAGCAAGTCCAGAGGAGGGCCACGAAGCTGATCAGAGGGCTGGAGCACCTCTCCTATGAGGACAGGCTGAGAGAGTTGGGCTTGTTCAGCCTGGAGAAGAGAAGACTCTGGGAAGACCTTAGAACAGCTTTCCAGTACCTGAAGGGGCCTACAGGAAAGATGGTGAGGGACTGTTTATCAGGGAGTGTAGTGACATGACAAGGGGGAATGGCCTTAAGCTGAAGGAGGGGAGATTTAGACTAAGTATTAGGAAGAAATTTTTCCCTGTGAGGGTGGTGAGGCCCTGGCACAGGTTGCCCAGAGAAGCTGTGGCTGGCCCCCGCTCCCCCGGAGGGGTTTGGGGCCGGGCAGCTGTGGCTGCCCCTGGCTCCCTGGAAGTGTTTGAGGCCAGGCTGGATGGGGCTTTGGGCAACCTGGGCTAGTGGAGGGTGTGCCTTCCAACCCAAACCATTCTATGACTCTGTGATTCTATGATTCTATTTCTGTTCCTATATTCTATTCCTTTATACTTATATTGGATAACAGTAGGTAAAATTCATGTAACTACAGATCTGTAGAGAATCCAAGAGATAAAACTGCGTTACAAATCTGGAATCATGTACTGAAAATTGCTGTCTACAAATAAAAATTACATATTACAATAAATGACTGAAGGAATCCAAGGATGAGGGAAGCAGGTTTATGAATAATGGCGTTACCCTGACGTGATCAGTGAAAATTATGGGACAAAATAATTTTTTTCTCAGAAGTAAGAGAAACAAAGATAAGAAAAATTTTGGCTAATACAACAAAATACCTTGGAAAATTATACTTGTCTGCAGTCATCTAAATTTCGAAGACGTTTTAATAAAATTATGAGTGGCATGACAGCAAAAAGCTAACAGAGAATAAAATTATTCATCTGAAGCATAACTGAAGGTACCTTCACAAACAATAGAAAAATCTGAGCTGTGATCCTATACAGTCCAATATTGTGAATTGAGAGTTTACCATCTGAGTCATCCTTACCATTTCAAGAAACAGATTTGAAAAGATACATTTTGGGATGCAGAATTCATTCCATTCAACAAAAATAGGAAAAAAAATAATTTGAAAGGTTGTATTTTCCAAATACACATCTTCTTTTGTTAAAACTTTTATAAAAAAAACCCCCAACAAGCTATTTTGGTCATTGGGTGAAAAAAATGGTGCACTTACTTGATCATATGTGGCACTGTGACTTTAGAGTTTTCTTCAAACACTATGGTCATTAAACCATTGCACCTTATATTATCAATGCACTGTGAAAATAAACATTGAAAACTGTTAAAATCAAAACACAGGTTAAGAGCATTTACTTCCACACTTTTCATATTGCTGTAAGCTTAAAGCATAGCTTTTACATGGTATGGACTGATTGGTACAAGGTATTTTCGTAAATGAAAAGCAATGATGCAAGAAGTACAGTGGACATGCTTCTCTAGTCTTCTGCTTTTGATTTGTACATCTGCAAGGCCATGCATCTTTATCAGCACACTCAGAATATTCAGCTCAGCATCCTTTCTTCACAAGATTAAGTATTTTGAGTTGCAAGTGAAATTTCCTTTGAAGTTCCTTTGAAACTGAACAAAATTAAGTATCATCTCTAGCATTTCCTGCATGAGTATTAAACTTGAAAAATCAATATTGCAAGAAAGTTAGCATACGTTATCCACAAATGGATATACTAACACCTTAACCTTTACACTGTGCAAAAAGACCAAAGAGAAATATAAACAGTTTCTACAAACACAGTTGTAAAAACAAATTCGAGTGGTGCTGTTATTGTGAAATATAGCTAGAAGGATGCTGTCAAAGGAATTCCTTGCAAACTCTTGTATAAATGTTTTGGGCTAGGTATTAGAAGCTGGAAAGACACTTTTGGGACATGGTTGCAGCTGGGACATATTGCTTTAGAAATTATGGGCTGTCCCGTGGTCAGTAGAAGTCTACAAACTAGGGTTGCGCAAGCTGTTCTTCAAGCCTCTAAGCAGCCCAGTGCTGGCGGCACATAGGGGTAGCTTGAAGCCATTTGTACACCAGTATCTTCTGGTTTGTACCTTTATGTAGTTAAGATCACACAGCACCACAAGCCTTGCTCTTAGAAGTCAGGAGAGAGTCTGCCAGTGGATCAGGCTTATACGGTCTGCAAAAAGTACCTGCTACCTAAAACTACAGGATTATTGTCTCTAAATTCTTTCTAGTTTTATTTGTCAAGTATCATTATGTGGTGGGTTGACCCTGGCTAGGGGCCA